ATGCGAAGTTCTAGAAAAAACACGAAACTTTTTCTTTGCGGGAATGTTAAGGCGCGTCTCTGCTGGAGATATCACTACAGATTGTCTTGTCAGTGGGTCACTTTAGAGCGATTGCATGGATAATTTTAACTCAATAACTGCCCGTTCCAAACGATCGTTCTGGGACATTCCGGGCTTGGTCTGTTTACCTTTGGTATTATAGCCTTAGTAGATTCTAGAAAACAAATTTACTAAAATAACTGGGCATCATAATTTTCACCAAAGCTCTCCCATCTGATGTACGCTGATATCACAGGAATTAAAAGTAATTATCAGTGATCATGCAGCCAGGGCAAGCGTGAGTCGCTTGAAAAATTTTTCCATTTTGGCAGTCTGGTCTGTCTTGAATTTCTCATGCAAATGCAAATAAGTTTGACAGTGATTTCAGGACTGTGATTTTTTGAACATTAACATTTTAGCCAATTTCTTGTATCTTCATTGATCTTTTTCAGTGCAGCTTTGTCATTCGATGAGACTCAATTATGCCATTCATGTGCCCTCGAGGTCGACAGTAGACAGACAGTACCAGAAATTGATTTAATTTACCTTCCTGGGTTTATAATAAGAGAAACTCATCTCTAGACGCCAGAACAATAATATTGCTGTTTAATTGAGTTTGCTGAGCTTGTAAATTACCTAAACAGAATCAATGCTTCATCAAAATTTTGCCTATGCCTCTGCATTGACAGTAACAAATTGTCAGTGGCCTCTTCAACGACTATGTCATGACTGAAAAGAATATGCATACTCCATACGTATTATTGATCAGATTTCCTAACACTTAATTGAAAGGAAAATTACATTCAGGTTACCAAACATTTCTGTTATCTTAAGCAGTAGCATTATTGGTCACAAGCACAGGTCTTAGGCATTTCAATTGAACAGATAACACTGCAGGACAAGCTTGCTATTTGTTAGTTTTGTTTGTACTTTCAGGTCGACATAGAAACAATAAATTTATTCAGGGTTTGTTTGAGTTGGGTGCTTTTCTAATTTTGCACACTGTAGGCTTATTATCTCCCACCGAGAAAGAAGAATAGATTTAACTCTTGAAGAGCACGTTGTTAGATTCAAAGGCAGCTATTTGTGGTGTGAATGATCAAACTTAAATGTCACTGAAGTGTTAAATAGTTTTTGTGGTTATTTAAACCTACATAAGTGCTTTCAGTAACTTTTAAGTGTGCTAAACATAGTCAAAGAATAATAGCTGAAACCTTAGCTCAGAGTAAATGTGAGTGAGTTCTTAACCTGAAGATGCTGCAAGTTCTCAGTTTCAGCTGCATTCTTACAAAAAAAAACACTGTGCATTATAGTAGTTTGACATCAAATGCCACTCATTATACATCCTGACTTAAGGAAAAATGGGACAATCTTACACTTCCAGATTAAACTAAGGGATAAGTCAGTTTTCATCTCTTTAATAATTAACTAGATCAGAAAAGACTGCTATTTTCCCAAGAATATGAAAAGCATATTTTTAAAATTTTTGGTAATTTGTTGACACCTCATAAATTACACTTGACTTCAAAAAAAAAAAAGTAGTGTTAACTGTTGTAAAGGTTAAAGCCAGTAAAGGACACCAAAACACAAGCAAGTTTTCTGAAGGCTGTGTACAGGCTAGCTTCTCTCATTTGTTTTGCTTTGCCAACTGCGGTCACTAACCAGCCAGTATCCTGCTGTTTAGATTTTATTAATTATATCTAATAAGTTTTGGTATCATTAATTTATACCTTTATGCTACCTTCTAAATCAAAACTTGAGGTGAAAGTAGACTTCCACTGTTCAAACCAAGCAAAGATCACTGGTACCTTATAGGAAAATGGACTGCCAGAAAACTGTTTCATATTCATAACAAACATCACAGCTTTTTCCTCAGCAGGTGTATATGAAAAAGATGTGAATATTCAACTAAAATAATGTTCTGTACTGCAAAGAAAGCAAATATGGGACATAGCTCTTTTTCTTTTACCAGATGTAAGTTACTGATTCTTTGTTGCTTGAATTCTAAGCACTGCTATAACCATTAGACTTGCCATAAGTTGACTACGAGAGCACTGAAGGCACCAGGAATGCTCACAAAGTGAGGGAAAGTGAGTGAAAAAGTCGCTAGAGGGGAGCGATGTAAGTTGTGGGTCAAGTTTTTCCTGCCTGACCATCTAACCAGCAGAAACCGGAAAAGGCTTTTAGAAAGTCTATACAAACATGAATTGAAGTGAGCCAGTTAACGGAATAAACCAGATAATAAGCACAACTTTATTTTGGACTGTCTCTTTTTCTGCAAACGATGGTTACTGAATACCCTTACCTTAATAAAGATTCATGTATCTGTGAATAAAAAAAAAACATCTGTTTACATCTTGGAGGCTGTTATCCACCTTGGCCTTTGGCCTCGTTGGATAACATCCTCCTAGATCTACATAAATCCTCACATGATACTCAGCCTCATTCAACAATATTGTTAATGAAATATGATCTTTCAGGTTATTATTATGGACAGTGGAAAACTGGGATGCGTTCCGGATATGGTATACGAAGTGGTGAGGTTAAACGAGAAAACAGCACCACAAGGCATTACAAGCGCTGTATTTCTAGGCAGTCCACTGTGGATAATTTTAAAGCCAACGGGGTCCTACCCAGTCAGAACAGTAAACTACACCATGTGAGGACCCTTTCGCAAACTGATTCCCACCCACAATCACCCAGACCCTTAAGTGATCCAGACATTGCTAGTGAAACCAGATCAATGAACAGTACAGTGGGTAGTGGCTCGGCTCAGTCTTATAAGATGGATGGTGTTGATGCTAATGGGCAGATTGAAAGGGCAGATAATCGCCTGATAGAGACATACAAGGGAGAGTGGAAGAATGACAAGCGGCATGGATATGGTGTTATAGAAGACACTGACGGCTTTAGCTATATTGGCGAGTGGAGTGAAAACATGAGGCATGGATTAGGTGTTGCTTCATATCCAGATGGAACAAAGCTGGAAGGAGAGTGGAAAAATGATGAGTTAGTTACGGATTCAAGAAAGAGGGGTGCATTAGTTTCTCTTGTGACAAGGTTTAAACAGCGGCTGAGGGTGGTTTGTGAGGGGGCCCAGGATGCTGCAGATAAGGCAGAACAGAAGTCACAGATATCACTATCAAGAGCTGCTGCAGCAAGGGATAAGGCTGTGGATGCTGTCAGTGCTGCCGAAAATGCTGCCGCGGCAGCAGCCACTGCTCAAAAACGTGTCAGAGCAATTATTTCTAAAATGAAAGACAAGACGTAGCACTAAAATCTGCTTTGTTGTCAGGGAATATTTTTGAGGCTGCAGTCTTGCCGATGGCATCATGCCCCTTGCTTGTGACAAATGATGGCTCAGTGTCATAATCTGTACACTTTTGTCAACTCGCATTGGCACAAGGGAGAATCGACCTTATTCACAAGTATAGTTTGGTAGTTCTGTGTGAAATACAGAATTCATCTCTTGCAGCTTGCTGCACTGTGTTAGCATGGCTGGACATTTACAACAACTGAAGGCAACAGATGTCAACCACCATTTTATTTTACCACCAAGACAGGTACTTAGTAAGTTGTACCAACTGATTGTAGCTGGTGATGTTGCAGTTAGCTAATGGGGCCGTAAGTGTGCATGTTCCCTATGTGGAAACTGTGGGAAGGAGCTTTCTATAATAAATGTTGAGGTTTTGTAAATAGGCATAGGCTGTTTTGTAGTGTTGTTTAGCAAGCATTAGGTAGTCTTTTTAGTGCTACAACTTCTAATTTTATCGTCAAGTTAAACTAAGTTTTCAACATCTATGCATATTCAATAATTTATGCCAATAAGTACAAAAATAATGTTGCATTGAGTTACTGCATTTTTGCATGTACAGGTTAGTTACTGTCGAAAAAAGATTTTGAATAATTTTTCTTTACCCTTTTTGTGTTAAATTTCCTGTGGATTAACCTCATCATCTGGGTAAAATGAATGAGAAATTGTACAGTAAATCAACAGAAAAAAATTCTTCCAGGAAAATTCATATGTGGTGCACATAGTGCCTATTAAATTTCTTTCATTCAACTGATCATTATTTTTATGAAAAGTAGAATTTTGTAATTTACAATAAATTGCAAGCTTCCAATGAGTTTCAGAGCCAAGAATTGCCAGATGAACTCATTTGATTTATAAACTTCTGTACTATTGCTTTAAAAGAATTCTGATTGAAAGTTCTTGTTGGTCATGCACACACTAGTGTAAATCAAGCCATTTCTGTACAAGGTTTAACAAGGAAAAAACCTTCTATTTATATTTTTTGTAGTGACAAAAATTATTTTGGGATTGGGTCACAACACTCTATGGCTTTTGTTTAATTTGTAGCTGAGATTTTAGAAATTGATAAAGTTGTTGTTTTTGTTTGTTGCTTGAGAAAAGAACCGTACACACCCCGTGGAGGGTCAGTGGAAATTCTAAGAAGGGTGGGATTTTAAAGGAGACCCCAAATCGAATTTCCAAAGTGATGTAGAAGGAGGTTCAAACCAATGAACCCTTCATAGCAAGAATTTGGGTACTTTCTGGAGCAACAGACTTTCCCCCTTTTTTAACGCCCAAATCAACAATTTCCTTTGAAATTTCACAAGTGTTCTTCTTCAGAGCAAAGTTTATTTTTTTTTATAGTTGTTCAGGTTCAAGCAAAAAACCATTTGATTTTGTTCAAATGTAATCAAGTTATTTAAAACTAAATTATAGAGTTTTATGGTAGTAATATATTGTGTTTCTTGCTGCTTTCGGTTATACTCTTCCTTGTAACTACGGACAAAACAAGGAAAAAATCTGATGCGAATTCACATACCATAAATAGATAACCACATCAGAGAATGAGAGAATGTTATGTTTTTTAAACACTTAATACCACCATTTGCCAAAATAAGTATTTTTTTAATATGTGGATGGGACAACTATATTTCCCTCTCTGCCAAATGTTATGAAAATTTGAGGCATTCTCTGGAAAGAGTTGTGTTTTTTTTCCAATACTGAACTGATGCTTCTGATTGGCTTTGTAAAATTTAAAGCAATAAATTGTCTATCAGGGGCATACCTGTTACTTTTTGGTTAATTCAGAATACTGCTCGGACTATCCTTTCAGCTGGACTTGTACAGACATTGTCTTTTTAGGCCACGAGTTTAAATTAATCTAAGTTAATTCTGTCTTGTAAATAATTTGATAATTGCTATTGTTATAATTTATGGTTAGCATAGTTATATGCCTTGCCACCTGAGTTATATACTACTTGAAAACTGTTTTTAACAACTTGAATAGTTTTAGAAATGGGAATGCTATAAATGTGCCGGCAGGCTTGGTGAGATTTGTGGCATGATCATGATCGTAGGAAGACAAGCATCAAACCATGCATTGAAATACTGCATCTTTTTAAAGGGGTTATGTCACAAGGTTGTCGCTGTTGTAGTCATAACTTAGTGTTTTAAACCTTGAAAAAATTGGCTCATTTTTTAAAGTTTTAATTCTTGCCCATCCTTGCCATCCGCAGCATTAGACGACAAGAAACACTTTCAGTGCATAAATATAGTTGTAAAATGACAAAACTGGATCATTATATTTGGAACTCAATTGATGTGAAAAACATTTTAGCTTTTTTTACAGTGCGACTACTGTAACTGGGGCCACCTGGACAAAGTTGACCAATTGGATGACAGGAAAATAGCAGTACATTCCAAGAAAGTTAGTAAAATAAACAAAGTAAACAACATGGATTGAAATCAAGCAATTACAACCCCCAACCGTGACCTTTTAAACCTGCTGAAGAAAGTTCTTGTTTCCTGAGAGATCCGCTAGAGTGAATGACGCAGGCAAAGAACGTAAATGTAAGTTAATTTTTTGACTTGAGGTTGTGATGTTATTGCAAAGCGTGGCAAGTGAAACATTTTGCTTTGTTGAAAAACGTTTGCTACCAATATTTAAAGTTTGTACCTCTAGTAACTTATTGTTTTTCTACGGGCTGCTGATTGGCCCACAACCAAGTTTCTTGGAATGTATTGTTAATTTTGCCTGTAATCTGATTGGTCAACTTTGTCTATGTGGCCCTGGTTAGAGTAGTAGCATAGGTAACTTTGGCAATTCAAGGCATGTGTTATGTGCGAAATCTTATATTTTCAAGGTTTCTCAAGGAAGTGAGTGAATTTCAATTCAGAAAGATTTTGGTCACGTGTTATACACGCATATCGCGGAAGGTGCAAAAAAGTGATTCATTATTGACATCCAAGAAAAAAGAAGCCTAAAAGCTAAAAGGTTAGAAGCTGTGATTTTATTTTGAACCCTGCAGTAGAAGATAACAAATAGCCTGACATAGCCCCTTGAAACTTGGAGCTCACCAGCAACGATACCTTTGGTAGCATAGTCTTTTGTCCCAGTCTTATGTCACTATAGAGTACTAAAGTGATGACGTCATAAAAATGAAATTTCTGAAATTATGGGATGTGTCAGGATATTCTGAAAGAACAATGTCCAAGAGGCCTAGTTGACAAAAATGAACATTTCGGGGCAAATTGTCTCTGAGATCTAGCCCAGTTATGCTTAGAACGTGCCATACAAACCCTTCTAATGTTTTTGGGGGTCGACCCAAAAAAAAATTAGAAGGGTTTGTATGGAGTTTTCTAAGCATAACTGGTCTACAATCTCAGAGACAATTTACCCTGAAATGTTCATTTTTGTCAACTAGGCCTCTTGGACATTGTTCTTTCAGAATATCCTGACACATCCCATAATTTCAGAAATTTCATTTTTATGACGTCACACTTTACTACTCTATTACATGGATAGTCAAGCAGCTGCCCAGGCCAAATGAGAAGCACTGCTTGATGACTCAATAACTGTTTAGGGCCGATACCTACCAAAAGTCAGGACTGACTGGCTGGACAGGTCATTTTGAAAATGAAATAAGTTCTTTTGAAAAGTTTTTAGATATGCCAATCTCTGGAGGACTTAAACCTGGAGGCCGACCCTTTTTTAGTACACCCCCTACAAAACGACGTCAACCAGCCCCTAATCTCCCCCCCTCCCCCGCAAGCCAGCCCACAACCCAAACTATAACAGTTTTTTTATGAAGTACAGACTTGCTTTGCTTGCTTTTATGTCAAATTACTCTTGACAGTGATGACATAAGTGCAAAAATGCCACAGAAACCAAGTAAAGCTTTGATTGAAAACATTTTTGAATTTTGGGACAAAATGGGCTAAATTTCAAACAAAAGCAGAGTAAAGCTCAAATTCTGATTTTGTCCGGGACATGAGGTAACCCGTATGGGAATCCGGGAGGTTCGTATCCGAGAGAGTTGGCATTACCATATATGAGTTTTCTACTACTTGAAAACCCATTACCGCTCTGCATATAGAACAGTGTCGACTAATAATGGAATTCTTTTTATGACTGGTCTGGCCGGTCAGTTACAACGGACTAATGGTTAGGGTATCCAGTCACCTCGCCACCAAACCGTTTCGCCACTAAGAAATATAATATCTTAATACTTGTCGAAAGGGAAAGTCTCTAAAGCCAAATTCCTTCACTTTAAATTTACAATGAAATTTAAGGAGGTAAGGGTCATGCGATAATATTACCCCACTTTTCTAAGAAGGGCTGTTGGATTTTAAATAAATCGCATCTCTTGAGCATACAAATAAGAGGTATTAAGTTATTACAAAGTCGCATATATTTACAAAAAATGAAACTAAATATTAGGAGTTTGACGCAAGTTGTCAATTACCATAGAAAAACTTGTATTCGGGCTTGAGGAAGAAGTAACAGTCCTTGGTACGTAAACAGTTCCAATTATTGCAGAGTTATTTTGTGGTGGCGAGTAGACTTCTTGGTGGCGATTTCCTTGGTGGCGAGTTGACCGATGTCTCAAGTCCTTCAGGATATGAAGCACTCAAGTGTGGCCACTCTTTCCAATAACTTGTATCAGAGACCTTTAGATTCTACGAGTGCGAGAGTTTCTCTGTGTTTTAGTGAGAATTTCGAAGGAGCGGAAACAAGTTATCAAATGTTGGAAGTTTATCATTTTGCGATCGGGAAGGGGCTTAACCTCCTTTAATTTAGATAACAGTGCTAACTTGGCTGGTGAATCAAAAGTGCAGTAAAGGTTTCCGGGGTTTCTATTTTCGAGAAAACGCGAAAAAAACTTTCAGTCAACTCGTAGTCATTCTTGTCTTCGATTCTATTTACTAATAGCCTTATTTGGGTCTCAAAAGTTCTGGAAGCAAGAAATACCTGCGTT